GTATTCAGATGACGTTTCGTTTAACTTTACATATTTCGTTTAAAATGTCATAACAAATTAAACGAAATATGTAAAATAAAACGAGACTCCATCCAAATATGGGGTTTAGATGAGTTATCTAAAATGAATATAATTTTTAGTGTGTATATGTCTTATTTTTAAAATCCTGAAATGCTATAGAATCACACGAAATAGTCGAGGTATTCGCTTCAAAATGTTTACAGTTGTAATCATATAAGTGAGATTACGTAGTACCCAGGTAATGTGATTTATACTACATGCAAAGATGATTTTAAGACTTTCAAAAAATGTACACATACAGATACATTTGTGGGAACGACAATTTTCCGAACGAAAAAAAAATCATTTTTTCATGAAATTCAACGTCATCAATGACAACAATTTTCGGTTTCGTCATCAGAATGACCGAATACTGAACTCAAACGTCATCACACTGGTCATCATAACATCTGGTTACAGTTCACATATTTTCGTGCATTTATTCATACTAGGGTCGCCAAGTGGCCGATGAATCGGCCAATAATAAACACTTCTTTCTTTTTGAATTGATGGAATGGTTGAAAATTTGAATGGCACGTGTTATTGATTCCGTGAGTGAATTTTTTGTTTTGAAAATAGCAGATTTTCTCTGAGTTTGTTATTCAATTTGTGAGAAATTAATAAAGATGGTTTTAAAACGTGGAGCGAGTGGAGGTTCTATGGGTTCTATTTCGCTTCTTCATTTTTACAACACATTGTCTGCATATATGTGAATTAGGAATTTTTAAATTTGTCTAAATTTTTTAAAACCAACTTAATTAATTTCTTCAAACTTGACATATGTGAATTCTGAATGGCATTCTGCACATCTACTGTTCACGACCTTTCAAATGGTACCAGTGGTATCAAAATAAGTTGGGTATAAAATGGTTAAAATGGTACCAAAACTTTTTGGGCTAGCGCATTAATATATAGATGAGATAAAATTGATTGGATCGAATACCAGAAAAAAAAACAAGACAACATAACCACAAGCAATGTCATTGACATTGGAAACAACATTTAAAAAATGTTGAAATTCAAAACAAGTTTCTTTCTCTCTAATTCATGTTTTTTTCTTCATAGAATAAATATTCGCACATAGATTGAATCATTCGATCAATTTTATTCTGGTGCCGCACATAGATTGTAGATGCTTTTAGTTTCTAGTTGAATTATTTCTGATACGTCAACTAGTTTCTCAGGTGGTTTGGTATATATTGTGATTTACGATTGGATTCAACATTATTTGAGCGTAATATTGTAATTACGTACAAAACTGTACACAGAAAGGTCCGCTAATATGAGTGCATTTAGTATTATGCGCTGTACATTTGTCATTAATTTCCAATTTCGCACGAACAAATCTTCGTTTTGTTTTGTTACATCAAGTTTTGATGTGAATGGATGCGTTCAATATTATGTGATCTGATGTTACTGTGCTCGGTAATACAATACTAGCGATTGTTGGTGCACATGCCACGAGTAGTTACAGTTCAAGGTGAGCGGGTGGGCGAACATTTGATTTTTTTGTCTCATTTTTGCTTCAATAGCACTACGAATTGTATACGATCTGGTAGAAATGTAAGATGTGTATCAAATCTGTGGTAATAGAAAATAAGAGTTCAAATGGTTTAAGTAAAACTAGTGTACGCTGCATGGCCTTGAATACTTGCTATCTACTCTTTTTGGGCATTTCGATTTATTTTACCAAATCTCTTATTTGTCTCTTCGTAAAGTGTAATTGTGATCGAGCAGCAAGTGGGCGATGTCGTTTTCGAACGAATATTCTTCTTCGTTCATCAAATGCTGTACATGTTGACGATTTTGTGCAAATAAAAATGTCTAAAACATTTGCCAAAAATAAAATGTGTTAAGTCACGACCGGCCGGCAATAGTGTCGATAATGTATATGAAAATACATACTTATACTTGTGAGTCCAGCGAAATTTAGCACGTCCAAATTTGGCATTTATTTCGTTACCTTTTGTTATTGTTCTTACATTTTTGTGTTTGGGTTTGGGTTTTGGAAAGACGCATTTCTTGATCACATTACGGCCTGAATCGTAGTTATTGAAAGAAGTTGGTGCCCATATAATGCATATCCTCATCATATTCCAAATGAATTCAATTCGCACGTTCATTGAATACATTCTATGAAGTTGATGTGAATTGTTTTTTTTTTCGTTTCAAATAATCTATAATTTATTACTCTAACGTTTAGATTCGGTTTTATTCATATACATGCTTGGGACCGATTTGAAAGTTCGTCGCTCTTTGGCGATTTAGCTCCATCACTTCATCTAACACCGAAACGAGGTTCTAACTTAAGTTGGATCGTTGTTATCTGTTGTTTATCTTCGTATTCGTGAGTATTTCCTATACTTGACCACGTACATCGAGCGCAAATGATCATGGGGAAGCAGCGACAAAAACTACAACCACAACAATACACCGAATACAACAGCAAAAAGAAGAACAAAAAAGACAGAATGAATTATCTAGATTTATATAGCGAATAATTAATTTATTTCGAGAGGTTGTAGTGAAAAATGCCACACCAACCAATACAAATACAAAAAAAAAACATACAATATATGATTCTCTCCTCTACCATTTGAAGTAGAAGTACATTTTTCGAATTGTCGGTCTTGATCGTATGCCTTAGGTAGTATGAGGCACTTTAAATAAGAGGGGGAAGAAACAACAGAATAACGATAAAACTATTGGAACTTCTTGACATATTAGATGTCAATGACTTTCATGTTTTCTTGTTTTCGGTTTCGCTTTTTTTTCTCTCTAATTCTCTCGTTCCTTTCAACCAAATATTTCGGGTCGAATCTCTATGGCTCCAAAACAGAATGTCATAAAAATTATACAGACAAAAATTTGAACAGGGCATATTCGCTTTGGATACGCAGAGATGGGCAAATTCGGAATTGCATAAATCGCTTCAGAATACTTAATTTTATTTCGTTAATTCAGAAAATGTATAGCTGAATATAATAGAAGAGAGAGAGAGAGATGAGTGAAAAGAAGAGAAGAGAAGGGAAAAGGATCAGTGAACACCGATGGAATTCAGTTTGCGGTCATTCAGAGTTCATTTGACAAATTAATTTTAGTATTAGTTTTGAATAGAATACGAATGAACATCCCGAGTTCAATGATCAAAGAATTATGCATATTCATAGACGTACAACTTAAATAAAAATTTAAGTGTTAGTCATATCTATGTCTAACGTAACTGCTTCTTTGCACAACTTGTTTGAATTCGTACGAAGTGGTTTTTCAATTGACCAAACCAAAAATTGGTTCATATCGATAGAAATCTTGAACGTTCTTTATTATTTTCCCCTGCACAATTCCAATTGAGATTGAATCAATTCATTTCGCTGATATTTATATAGTGAAGACAGCTTCCTGCATGAATTGTACTTATGATTCTGGACGAATGCAATTTCAATTGATGTGAAACTCGTCGATTCGTTTTGAGATATCTAATTGCGTACTTCCACTTCACTGTTCATTCATTCTGCATTGCTAGATTCGGGAAAATTGTGTCGCCGATATCAATTCAACCATGGACTGCTAGTGTAAAGTCACATAATACTAAACGCATCCATTCTTAATAGGAAAACAATGAAAAATTAATGGGTGCATTCAATATTATGCAGCATTTACGTGCATTTACGTTCGACACTAGCAATCGTTGAATTCAACCCTCTCGTACATACAATTACCTTTAGATGGACATCATTTGAACGTTTGCTAACGTAAACTTTACGTCAGATCACATTGCTTCAGAGGGAATTTCAATTCGTCAAAATGTCCGCTATAATTTTGCCTTTTGCACTATAATTTTTCACACTAAAAGAAATTAGGTTGGTGCAATTGCAGATGACGTTTGGAATATGTCAAAAATCAACTTTTTTATATGCCGTTATATCCGCCAGTTTAAAACCAAAATAGTTAGATAAATCGCAACCGACATAGAAAAAAAAATTTCTTATTTATTTTTCCAAACGTCATCTGCAATTGTGCCAACCTAATTTCTCAGTGCATGAAGCGGTTATTGAGTTATAATTATTCGATATTTTTATCGAATAAATCCAATTCAAATAGATAATTTTAACGCAAACCATTCCCTGTCGTCATCATTCGATTCGGCTAGTATGAGCGATGATAGGAACATGCAAGAATATTTAAAATACGTATAGAAAAAAAAAATTATAGCTGAGCAATCTTAGCTTGCTAATGATGGAACAAAAAACGAAGCAATACACTTAAAACGGATATAAAGCTGAGGTGAGTAATAAACAAAAATGGGCGCTACAAGAAGAACATATTCTCTTGAGATGAGTAGACAAACGCGCTAAAAAGTTTCAACTTTTTTATGCAATCGGTTGTAAACATGTTTTCCGTTTCTTTCAATATTCAAATTCATTAATAGTAATGACCATTTGAAACAAAGTGGAAACATTTAAAATAAACAACAAGTGCGCTGTAAATCATTATAAAAGAATTCTAAAATTTATCCGACCGACGATGGCTGAGTCTAATTACGCGAAAATAGCGCCATAGAGATTTACATTGTAAATGGTAGCGACGAAAGATCACACTAATAAAATGTACAACACAAATACTATTGACAAACAGTGTGTGTGTGTGTGTGTGTGTGTGTGTGTGTGTGTGAATAGTTACATATAATGATGATAAGCTTTGCAGCTTAAAACTCAAGTATTACACCGTTTGATATGATGATTTAAATTAATCACCATTGTTTGTTTTATCGGTGTTCGTTTATCGTAACGGATACTATTTACAGAAACCATATTTGATGGCAGTTTTCTATTTTACATGCTAACTTTTAACTATAGTTATATATAGGCTATCTTTTACTAGTGATTACGATCATTTGACAATGCAGTCAACTCAGTTATTGTCAACACAAATTCACTTACCAGGATGATTTGATGACTCAGCAGAAAAATGAAGAGATGAAGTTTTGATTCTTATCGATTCCGTATAAAATAAATGATTTAATCCAATAATTTCCTTTGCTTAGATCTCGGATGAAATCATCGTAAGTTTTAATGTTTGTGGTATGAAAATGTTTTTAAATTGCTTCCATTCATAAAATTTTTTATTCAAAAAGCATGAATATTTCATCACTTTCAGTCAAAGCAGCAGTCAAATTGTGAATCACAAATACATATCAACAGAAATAAATCACAATCAAACAATTTTTTGTATTGTTCCGTGATTTATATATTTGAAGTTCGTCTTTTTTTCTTTTTTGGTTGGTTAGCTGGTTGGCAAAACAGTCTTATTGGTTTACTTTCATTCTTTCTTTTTTTTTTTTCAAATTATAGTGTCAATGCTATTTAATTTTATTGTTTGAATTTCGTAAGTTACTACTAGATTGGTTCTCATTTACTCTGTTATTTTTTTCATGTTCGATTCACTGTCAAAAGATATTCCGAATGGATGAATCAAAACCGGCTCGTCGTTCGTTTCTTTTGCCAAAGTTATTACACTTGTTCACGAGTATATGCACCATCACTGCACGCGCACAACAATTTAAAGCAATTCTTACGGTGCAAGCGAAATTTAAAACTAAATTTCATCGCATCAAGAAGCAACCGAGAATCGAATCGATTAAGTGAGTATTTTTTTTCTGTATCTTACTTGTTTTTGCGTTGCATTCATTTTTTCATTTTCGTTTCAATTCACATTTGAAGTTCTTTCTTTTTGTAATGTTCTTTTCTGTTGTGTATTATGTAACATCAGTTTGTGATGGAATGAACCGTAAAGGTCCTTAAAGTCTTTCACTTGGTAGATTATGTGTTGAGTCACGACACAAGATTTATGCCATAAATTTACAGTGATTAGGAACGTTTCTTTCGCAGATCAGTCGGTAGCACAATTGTTTTTGTAATTGTATTTATTTGCTTTAATTAACACGTCTTTAACTTTGCTTGCCAATAAAATTTCTAAAGTTGTTATTATACTTTGTTTTTGTTTGCTTTCTCTCTCTCTCTCTCTCTCTCTATCTCTCCCTCTAGTAATCACTAGCACTTGAACACAACATGTGACCCAAAACTGAGAATGGTTTTGCTCTGATAAAATGAGATAATTCGTTGGTTTTCTTTTGATGATCGATGACAGTCCTATGGTGTTTTACAACTAAATTAATGCTGAATATGTAGACGATCAAAAACAATTGTTTGTCGAATACTTGAATCTAAGAATATAAAAGTTAAAGAACGTTTAAAGTGTTCTTTATATCGAAACAAACCCGAATCGTACGTCTGTTTCTGATGTTGTCTTTCGGAAAACTGATTTACCATCGGAGAGCAACATTAGATATTTGGTATACTCGCTCGCTTGTTGGTAGATATCAGAGCAAAGCAAAGCAAAGCAAAGCAAACGCAAGACGATGACGGTCAAGGTGTATTCCCCTCTACCATACAAGCGGTGTGTATATGAATCCATGCATTCATGATTCCATGATCACACATACACAGACACGCATCAATTGTCTGCAAAACCAAGAACCATCACTGCCAATGCTACCTTCTTCCTTGTCGGTTTGTTTAGCTGCGATCTTCATACCTTCCGCATCGTCATCGGCTTATATGTGTGCGTGATTCGCTTCTGTCTGCGTATGGTTGCTTTTCTTTAATTCTCATTCTGTTTATATACGGATTCTTTGCCGCATACTAGAGTAATCGCTCTTTGTAGTCGTAGCTACATGGTTACCAGCCGGCTCGGTGACTTAGAACGATTCGTGAATGATTATTATTTTTATCAATTTATTTCTACGGTGCAGAAAAGTATGCGTTCCATTACTACCTGTATGATCGTTTCTATCTGATTGTCGATGATGTTTCTTCATCTCTCTGTCACACTCGCTCACTATCTCTAGCTACCACTCTCTCTCTCCCACACAAACACACAAACACACACACAAACACACACATACACTCAGGCTCACTCATACACACATACTCTCTGTCGTTAACACGCAGAAAGGCTGCTTTTGCTACTCATATCTACTGAGCTGTGTTCGGACCGTGAGTATGATTTGTGTAAACAGACTGAACAAGAAATAAATGAGTTGCGCTGTGGTTTGTTGTTATTATTCTCTTGGTTCTGTTTTGTTGTCTTTCTTCGTTGCTTACCTGCTGACTATTTTACAACATATTTCCTATCGCGTAGAGCTATATTGGTGAAATAAACGTTATAAACACTGTACAATCGATTACAAACTTATACACGTATTACCTTAGTCGTACGTAATAATCACTGCCGTAAGAACATGCTGTACGCTGCATTATTTGAATTGAATTTTCTCTTTTGAACGTCAATTCACCGTTCTTCCCGTGTTGAAAGAACGGGAAAATGCTTCAGTTATAAAGTTATTTTATTCAAATTAAATTTTACGTTTAAGACACAATCAAAGGATCAGATTTTTTCCATTTGTTGGCAATCAATTCATATTGGATTTTTCTCACATGAAAATTGAGCCAAATTTTTATGCAACCAAAGAAACTTTAGATACTTTCTTCTTAATCATTTGATCCAATTAAAGCGATCATTCGATTGCAGCGATGACTTTTCAACTTTTATAGTTACATGATCAATTTCAGCTAATTTTTTTCTTATTCTATTATCTTACAAGTTAAATTTCTCCTATTCATTCTTTGTTCTTCAACAATTGATGCTTGGAAAATTTTACTGGTAAATATATGATTCAATATTATATAATTCGATCTATAGCTTTGGTCGAAAATGTTAGGTTCCAGGCTTATCATTTCGCTGATGTTTGATTCTACTTGCCAATGTATTTAGTATGGGATAGAGATTTATTCATTAAGTATGTGATCCATTGGCAACCAAATTATTGAGAAGAGAAAGAAAAAAACCCAAAGAAAACATGAAAAGAATAGCAAAGTGATCTACATGTTTGATGTGTTTCTATGTGTTCTTTATTCTACTTTCATTTCGTTTACCTATTCTATGGATCGCGACGTGTTTCTAAATTGTAAGCCAATGAACTCTGAAACGTTAAAAAGCGTTCTTTAAAAGCTCAATCAGCAGTTGAACACGATGAGAGGAAAGAGAAGAAGAAAAAAAAACCACACTCGGCTCTTTGATACACCAAAAGAGAGTTGGACGATTATGAAAGCCTGAATTGTGTGTATAGAAGCGTATATATAAATCTGTTATGTATCTGTACATATCTTTCTCTGCAAATATGTGTGGTAGCGTCATCGTTTTATGTATGTTTATTTATTTTTGGCTATTTTCAGCGAATACTCAAACTCAGCCAATATGTTATACATAGGATTTTAACGCGTCACACCAGTTTATTGACCCTCAGCGCCGAAAATTTACATATTTACGCTTGTTCGTATTGTGCTCAGGCGATGTGTGGCGCATTTAATTTGGTTAAGTATTTTCATCTATGAATTTCAAATATGTAATTCAAACTTAAAGTAATTTGGTATTTGGACGTTTTTTTGCAGCAAAATTGTGATATTTTTTCACTTCACTAAAAATATCGGTGCGCAAGAATTTAAGCCAATATTACACATTTTGATGAGTTTATACAATCTCAGCTCTTAACAAAATGACATTGACCGTGGGCCATAAGTTGGTTCGTCGTTTATTCATGTCTTTCGTTGAATACATCTCAATTGAATCGATATTGGGCATATGACTGGAACTGAGTTTTAAATCGCAAAGAATTTAATTTTGATTATTCGAAATGGATGGGAACAAAATAACTAAAAATTGGTTAAATATTCTTTCGGTTCTGTGACCCTTTGTATTTTGAACGATTTTTCAGACAGACAGAACAGAAGTAAAACCATTCGATACAACACTGAAAGCGTGTTGTTCTCTTCAAACATGCAGCACGCAACACGCTTATCAGACCTGTAGTTTGTACAATGCCTCGCTCTCGAACGCACGCGAGTGTTGCTAAATTCATACATACGCACATATTCCGATGCACTTTTAAATGTATTTACCCGCGAACTTGAGACATTATGCTTCCTCGGTGGATCGTTTAATAGGAGAACGAATAGTATTAGCGTTAGACGTAGCGTTACTGTAACATATAAAGTAAACTTGAACGAGCTTCGTGCATTCAATACATTTCAGGTCCCGCTAACGTTTATATTTTTTATGCGCTATACGTTTTTCATTATTTCAATTTTCGCGCGAACAAATTTTGGCTTTGTTGCATTAAATCTTAATGTGAATGGATGCATTTAATGTTTGCATGATCTGGCGCTACTGTGCTCGTTGAACCAATATCAGGGATTGTTGATACATGCAGACAAGTGTAGAGAGGCATAGGTAAGAAAGTTTCCGTATATTGCGTAAATTTACGCGGCAAATATAAACAGCCACATTACAAATATTTTGCTATTTTACAGAAATGAAGAGAAACAAACTGGAAGCAATAAAAAGCGAAGATGTTTGCGAATAAGGGGAAATGAAGAAATGCTGAAAATGGAGCCAACAACAACAGTTCAATGCTTTTTCGAAATTTTTCCGCATTAGTTGGCATCAATATGTATTTCGTTAGCTCACATATCTATTAACTTATACTCAGATTTCTGAATAAAAAAAAAAAACTAGAATAGTACTTTCAAAGCCAGTTTCAGTCGATTCGATGTATTGGTGTGGTATGGTAGCGTATGTAAAGAGATTCGTATGAAACAGCCAACACACATAATCGTACTCTCTTACTCTGGATAGAGACATCTCGATTTCGTGGTCTCTCTTGCACGCTCGCGCAAAACATTGGGGAATCAACAGAAGAGAAAAAATTGAATTTCATTAAAAGATTAACTATGTGCTTCACGTTAGACTACTACGAAATGAGAGCAAACGTTCAGATTTTTCTTGGGGTCTTTGAACTATGTGGCTGTGCGTAGTTCATTGTTCTGATTGTGTAGAAGGAACGCAATTTTTTGACAGTAACGAAAACGAAAGAATTAACTTGACTGTTTCACATAAAATCTCGAACAAAAATATAACGGAAAGGCCAACACTTGAAATTCGTTGTGTCCACAATCATACACACACATATACATACGTATATATGTTTTATATATATACAGTTATAAAGTATTTGACAGTGTACAAAATGTAAAGTGAACTGAACTATACTACTCTGCTCGTGTACCCCAGTGTGTAGTGTAGATAATGTTTTGCATACAATCACGGAAGAAAAAAATATAGCGGCATTGAATGATTTTGAACTGTCTGTGCCATGTAAATTGCACCAAAGAGAAATGATACGATTGCGTTGTTTTTTGCATTGTGTTGCATACGGCAACGGTTTGCTACTTAACGGAAATTAAAAGACAAAACAACGCGCGAATCGTGTGCAGAAGGAAACAAACAAATGAAGAAAGAGACAAACCGCGATGAAAAAAAAGAACTGTAAGCTGAGGTTATTGCAGGCTATTGAACTAGTTACCTAGTACCAAACAATGTAGTCATTCCATACACATACAGCAAAGTTTACCACATCGACAGCATATCCATTGATAATAATAATGATAGTAGTAGGTTGTATGTTTATTCGCTATTTTCGTGCAGTGCTTTTCTTCTTCTTCTTGTTCTTCATCAGATGTATATGCACTTTTATGTGCACCATGAAATGGTTGATCGAAACGTGAATGTAATTGACTACAACAATGGCAAGTACAGAAATGCATTTTACATCGACTCAGAATCAAAAGGCTAAGGTTAATATTGAAAAAGCAATGAATTTTATGCATATTACTTCTAATACATAGGCCGTATTTTTTTCGCTTTTCGACGTTGAGAATTCGGGGAAAATTGAATACGTTCGACCCATATCATATTTCTGATTCAAATATAATCTAACGTATATGGTAGACAGCAAATGGTGCGCCCCAACAAAATAAATGCTCAATGGAACAGCGGACTTGTCGTCACACGCGTAGATGTAGCATTTCGCTTGATTCAGCGATTCGTTAGTTCTTACGCGTGGCGTCGCAAACGAAATCATACTTCGGCTTACCGAATAATTGGATTTCACGTTATATAGCGAGTGCATTGCATAGACGATGTTTCCGCAGCTAACCAATCGCTAAATCAAGCAAAATGCAACATCTACGCCCGTGACGACAAGTTCGCTGCTTCATTGAGTGATAGAAAACTGAGGGAAGAAAGTGGTGAAACTTTCCAATCATATACGAAATGGAACCGATAAAAATATGATGTACATTTTTGTGAATCGATTATCATTGGTATTTGTCAATAAAATCAGTGCATCTTTTCATCCCAATTTTTTTTTTACACGCATCGACTTTCAACTTGAAATTTTCAAGCCGAT